CAAATGTAGTATATTTTAGTACTTTTCGTACACTTATAGTGTAAATTTCCAAAAATCCTTTGGTACATCTATCATACACTCCATCAGTGACCCTCATTCCAAGTTTAAGAGTTCTAGCTCTGCTACAAAGGGTACCGTATTTAATACCTTTTAATACTTTTCGTACCGTTCTAGCACGAATTTCCACAAACCCAGGTTTATCTGACCCCTTCGGACCAAGAGTGACCCTCACCATTCTAGCTTCAGCCGTTTCGCCTGGACGTTGATGAAGTGTTACGAAGACTGCTACTTCTGCCCTGTAAAAATTTACGGATACGACAACATAGTAATGCAGTTTTTGAACGTTTTTGAAGAAAGTAATAATTTGTTTCGAAATCTTAACTCGAACATTTCGAAAGATGGAAAAAGGGAGGCGGAACTATCCAGGCCTTCTGCTTACCGCCCAATGTAATTGTTTGTATTGTCGATACACGTGTCTCATAATTTTAAATTTCAGCATTCCTGCTCTATCAGTTCACCCAATACAAATTGTATCAAATTTAGTACCATTTAGTACTTTTTGTGCACATAAGCACAAATTTCGAAAACTTCCTCCAAATCCCAAACCTACACTCCGCTAGTAATGTTAATAAATTTCAGGATTCCAGCTCCATCCGTTCCTCCAAATTCAAATTGTACTAAATTTAGTACAGTTTAGCACTTTTCGTATACATGAGTACATACTTCCAAAAATACCTCCTTACATCGACACTACCCCTCAAACTTGATTTCCATTCCAAAATGTCAAATTTTTAGTTCTAAACATTCACATGATACGAAATGGTACCAAATGCAGTACATTTTAGTACTTTTCGTACATTATAGTGCGAATTTCTAAAAACCCTTTGGTACATCTATCGTACACTCCATCAATGACCCTCTTTCCAAATTTAAGAGTTCTAGCTCTGCTACAAAAAAAATTCTCATCTTTAAACGTTTAAAAATTTCTCCGAAGAATAAACTTTAAATATTAGTTGTCCATTTCTATACCCTCCACCATATCATAGAGGGTATATTAAGTTTGTCATTCCGTTTGTAACACCTCGTAACATACATTTTAGACCCAACAAAGTATATATATTATTGATCAGCATAAAATTCTATGTCGATTTTCCGATGTCCGTCCGTCTGTCCTTCTGTGGAAATCACTCTAGCTTCCGACCGAAATGAAAATGTCTTCAGGACTTTTGGTATTGTAAATGGGTACTCAAAAGGTCCACGGTATGGTATAGCCCCCATGTAACGGTACCTCCCCATCTTCGGTATTTTGGTGTTTGTAGCGACATTATTCACCGGAAATGTTTTAAATATGGTATTTGATGTTCGTAATAGATACTACAGCCTATGACAGAAAATTGTCTGTGCATGTCTACGACTTCGTATAGCCCCCATATAACGGCACCTCCCGATATTCTGTATTTTAATGATTTTTGCGACATTATGTAATTGTGTCAAATTTGGTATTTGAAATTCGTAATGGATACTACGGCCTATGACAGTAAATTGTCTGGACCCTATATTCGATATTTGATGATACAGGTGCACGTCGTTGTATAGACCCTAATATAATGGCTACATTCGGTATTTTTAAGATTTTAACAGAATTTTTAACAGATTTATTTATTTATTATTATTTTTTTTTTTTTTTTTTGAAAATTGCCAAATTCGTTCCAAATGGTGGAGGGTATTCAAAGTTCGGCCCGGCCGAACTTGCAGCTTTTTTACTTGTTTTCCACATGTATATTCCAACTTTCCCTAGCATATTCAGACTACCCACCACTGATGTGTGATAATACAAAACTTTAAGCTTCTTAGCAAAGGAACCCGAGCAAAAAGACACGAAGAAGACAAATGAAAAACAAACTTGAAAAACAGATGATTGAGGGCTAATCCCTCATGGGTTAAGAGTAAAACAGTATTAAGTCGCTTTCCACAAAAAAGTGAAAAAAGAAGCGAAATTTATTCTTCTTTATTTTCTTTGCAATTTCTGTTTGCAGATCTGCACTTTCTTCATTGAACTCAAACATAAGTTCACGACACAGTTGCAGGTGTTGGCAAAACATTTCAATTCAATGGGGAAAATTGCGAATTTTCAGATGAAGAAGGCATGTGGCAAAAGGTAGATTGAGAGACAGATACAAAGGGGATCCCATGGCATATGAGTAGTTGCCGTTTGGTTGCAGATAACGCAAATTACATTTCAATGTTTGTTTGCTCTGCTTTATAAAGGATAACCGGCAACACATGCTAATCACCGTACAAATGTAGCAGCTGGATGTGGGGGCTTGGGAGTTTAGTGTGGAGGCTAGGGTAAATAAATTTCCATAATGTATTGGAATTTGTGATATGCCTCTGCTTGGGTAATGAAGAAATAAACATAGGTTTTCAGTAGGACATTATAGAGATTTTTAAAACTGGTTTTAAGCAAAGTGTCAAAAAAATCCAAATTCCAAAATCAATTCAATGAGTTTGTTTGAGATAGACAAATGGTTCTTGGAATATCCCTCAGTGCTTAACAAGAACTACATTTTTGCTTTCAACTCCCTTATCGTTATCTTTGGTAGACAGACTTCCTGTTCATTGAAATTCCCATCCTCAAAGAGGGTGGCAGCCCACTTTTCTTGTGAAAACTTTTTTTAAACTTTCCGCTGATAAAAATATCTTTTTAAAGTATTCAATTCGTTTCTCTTCTTGTGTTTTTTTAGTTTGCAAAATTCAATTTCCATTCGATTTGTTTCTTTCAAGGAGACGACATTTTTCAATTTCCGACATTAATTTGTCGATAACTTGAATGTGGCATTCGAATCATGCTGCAACTTTTCATGGCGAATATTAAAAATAAGTTTCCTTTTCAAATTGGATTATGTTTCCGGCAGTTTTCTTGTTCATATCACATTATTGTTGCTGCTGTTGTTAGAAGGTATAGGAAAGGACACATTTTGTTGGTTGTCAGCGTAGTATCTGTTATTTTAACGCGGGGATATTTGGGGGTATCGCGGGGATATTACTGGAAATCAATAGTTATGGGAAGACTGGAATAAGTGCATCAAAGTAAGTGCTCAAAGTAACTGGGTGAAAATGTTATAAACATTCAAGGTATTCTGATAATTATATAACATGAGGACTTCTCCTAGAAGACCAGTAGTTTCTCTTACTCAGGCCACATGGAATTCTAAGACCTTCTCATATTCGGCATGATCGACATCTTCTCATAGACAAGAGCTGAAAGCCCGCTCATAGTGGATCCAAAAACCCTCTTATAAAGGACAAGAAGGTGCCCACACACAGAATCAAAGTGCTCTCTCATAACATACTAAGACACCACCTCTCAAATTACCGAAGAGGATAGTAGATCAAAATGACTTCTCATTCCGGGGCAAAAAATACTCCCAGAGAGTATCAGAAGGTCTTCTCATACACCCCCAGAAGTTTCTCACATATTAAACATAACCAAATAGAGAAAATCATCTTGACCAGAAGGTCCTCTAATAGACAAATATAAAGTCCTCTCATAGTTGACCAGATGATACTCTTATAGAATACTGGAATGTGTTCCCATAGAGTACCTAAAGGTTCTCAAATTGATAACCAGAACTTCCTCTTATACCAGACCAGAAGTTCGTCTAATAATCGACCAGAAGGTGCTCTCATAGCGGTCCGGAAGTTGCACTTATAATGGACTAGAAGGTACTCTTATAAATGACTAGAAGATCCTTCCATAGAGAACTAGAAGGCCATCAAATAGAGCCCCAGAAGACAAGAAGCTTACCTTAGATGGACAAAACGTCCCTCTTATAAAGGAATAGAATATTCCATAATATAGGACCAGAAGTCATCTTATAAATGACTAGAAGGTCCCCCCGAGTGGACCAGAAGATCCTCTCAACGTGGATCATAAGGCTATTTCTTAGAGGGCAATGATGTCCTTTTATAGAGATCTTGGAGTTCACTAAAAAAGGATAAAGGACTAGAAGGTCTTCCTTTGCGTGAAGATTATTCTATAGAAGGTCTTCCTATAGACATTTCATAGAAGGCCAGAAGGGCTTCTAATAGAAGACGAGAAAAGCTTCTCATAGAAGGCCGGAAAGGAGTAAAGTCGAAGGTCTTTCCTTGGAAAAGGCGAAAATCTGTTTTAAAGGAGAGGCGAAGGTCTTCTCAGAAAGAGCAAAAGAGTTTTGAGTCTTCTGCAAAAAAATACTTTAATAGAAAGCCAGAAGGGCTTCTCATAGAAGTTTAGAAGGGCTTCTGAAAGAATGTCAGAAGGGCTTTTCATAAAATGTCAGAAGGGCTTCTCATAGAAGTCCAAAAGGGCTTCTCATAGAAGGCCAGAAGGGCTTCTCATAGAACAGTAGAAAAGCTGGAGGTCTTCTCAGCGAAGAGAGCTGGAGATCTTCTCAGCGAAGAGAGCCGGAGATCTTCTCAGCGAAGAGAGCTGGAGATCTTCTCAGCGAAGAGAGCTGGAGATCTTCTCAGCGAAGAGAGCTGGAGATCTTCTCAGCGAAGAGAGCTGGAGATCTTCTCAGCGAAGAGAGCTGGAGATCTTCTCAGAGAAGAGCTGGAGGTCTTCTCAGAGAAGAGCTGGAGGACTTCTCAGAGAAGAGCTGGAGGTCTTCTCAGAGAAAAGATGGATGCCTTCCCAGAGAAGGGCTGGAGGTCTTCTTATACGATAAGAAGTCTTCTCAGAAGATGTCAGAAGATCAGAAGTTAATCTGAAAAGGGCATATCGTAGAAGGCAATAATAATCCCTGAATATCCTCTCAGGAAAACCCAAAGGTCTTCTCGTACATGAGAAGAAGTTCTTCTTATTTAGAATTAAAAGGTCCATAGAAGCCCAAAAGCGTGTTCATATAGAAAGCCGAAGTAAATAATTTTCTCAGATTTTTTTTTTTATATTAAATATCGCCCTCAAAACTTTTATATAAAAATATTTCCATAACATATTTACTTTTATTTCATTTCAGGATTTGCCAGCCAATGCAGAGCCAACTAAAATATATTCGATTGGACTTTCAAAAATGGATTTCACTGACTACACAATCAATAATAACCTCCATTAGAATCTAAAACAGAAAATTTACAAAAATCACCGGCTCAAAACAACAACAACGACCTAAAAAGTCGAGAGAGAAAGCGCCCGAAATTCTATTCAAACATAAATGACAAATGATAATGAATAATGCAATCGGTAACATTGGAAACGTTACAACAACACACTACAACAGCATCGCCAGTGCCGTCAACAGCTCTGTACCCTACTGGGAATATGCCGCCCTGTTACAACCCCTGGCCGCTTCCATACCGAGAGCCTTCAGCAGCATGGAGTCGACTCACAATGCCGGCCAAAAGTCGGAATCATCATCGACCCACTACCAGCAACAACAACACATGTCCGCACAATACTACCCCTCATCCGTCGGAGAGGCAGCATTACCCGATACACCCGCCTTCACACGAAACGACAATCACCACAACTCCTCCGCCAGTGCACCAGCTACACCATCGCCTACATTCTTCTCTAGCTACAACATTTCCGATGACCTGTACTACTATTTCAATGGCTTTGTCGAGCACGGCGACACCATTTCCACATCCATATCAAGCACCGCCCCGACCATCATCAATCCGGCGGAAGCGTTTGCCACAACACCTGCGGATCCCTTCAACAGCACCAGCATACCTCAGGAGCCGGACTTGTCGGAGTTCCTCACCTCGTTGTCCAATGATCGGGTCAGCCTGCTGTCGTTTTTGTTCCTCTTCTCGTTTGCCACCGTTTTCGGCAATTCTCTGGTCATCCTGGCCGTCATAAGAGAGCGTTACCTGCATACGGCCACCAACTACTTCATCACCAGCTTGGCGGTGGCTGATTGTTTGGTGGGCTTGGTTGTGATGCCTTTCTCGGCACTGTACGAGGTGCTGGAGAACACGTGGTTCTTCGGCACCGACTGGTGTGATATCTGGAGATCACTGGATGTGCTCTTCAGCACGGCTTCCATACTCAATCTATGTGTCATATCACTGGACCGTTACTGGGCCATAACAGATCCGTTCTCATATCCCATGCGCATGACTGTGAAGCGGGCCGCACTGTTGATTTGTGCGGTCTGGGTATGTTCCAGCGCCATCAGCTTTCCGGCCATACTGTGGTGGCGGGCAGCCCGTGATGGTGAGATGCCGGCCTACAAGTGTACCTTCACGGAACATCTGGGCTACTTGGTGTTTTCGTCGACCATTTCATTTTACCTGCCGCTCCTCGTGATGGTATTCACCTATTGCCGCATTTATCGAGCGGCAGTGATACAGACGCGTTCACTGAAGATCGGCACCAAACAGGTGCTCATGGCCTCCGGTGAACTGCAGTTGACGTTGCGCATCCATCGCGGCGGTACCACACGAGAACCCTCCACCAGCTCTCACCATCAGGCGCTGCACGGTTCACTGGGCGGTGGTCCCAGTGGTGGCTCTCAGCATCATCCGCATGTCCATCATCATCATCGGACGTCGCATCACAATCACAGTAATGCGGGCACCACCACATCTACGCCGGAAGAGCCAGATGATGAGCCGCTATCGGCGCTGCACAACAATGGCCTGGCACGACATCGTCACATGGGCGGTAAGAACTTTTCGTGGTCAAGGAAATTGGCCAAATTCGCCAAGGAGAAGAAGGCGGCTAAGACGCTGGGCATTGTAATGGGTGTCTTCATCGTTTGTTGGCTGCCATTTTTCGTTGTGAATCTGTTGTCGGGTTTTTGCATGGAATGCATAGAGCATGAGGAGACCGTTTCGGCGGTGGTAACATGGCTGGGTTGGTTCAACTCTGGGATGAATCCTGTGATTTACGCGTGTTGGAGCAGAGATTTTCGGAGGTGAGTGTGGAGGAAAATTGGGAGAAGTTTGGTTGTTTAAAAGATATGAAGAGGTTATTTCCAGATTTTCGTCTTCTGGTCAAAGAAGACCAGAGCTGACCGTGATCTCATAGAAGGCCAGAGTTGATCTCATAGAAGAGCAATTGGTCTTCTCATAGAAGAGCAAGGCATTGTAATGGAGGAGGAGAGGAGCAATTGGTCTCCTCATAGAGAGCAATTGGTCTTCTCATAGAAGAGCAATTGGTCTTCTCATAGAAGAGCAATTGGTCTTCTCATAGAAGAGCAATTGGTCTTCTCATAGAAGAGCAATTGGTCTTCTCATAGAAGAGCAATTGGTCTTCTCATAGAAGAGCAATTGGTCTTCTCATAGAAGAACTGAAGGTCCACTCATAGAAAAGCTGAAGTTTATGAAAGAGCTTCTCATTGAAGAACTGAGCTCATGAAAGAGCTTCTAATTGAAGAGCTGAAAATCTTTTTTAAAGAAGACTAGCAGTGGGTCTTCTCCTAGAAGACCAGCAGTGGGTCTTCTCAAAAGAAGACCAGCAGCGGGTCTTCTCAAAAGAAGACCAGCGGAGGGTCTTCTCAAAAGAAGAGCAGCAGTGGGTCTTCTCAAAATAAGACCAGCAGTGGGTCTTCTCAAAATAAGACCAGCAGTGGGTCTCCTCAAAAGAAGACCAGCAGTGGGTCTTCTTAAAAGAAGACCAGCAGTGGGTCTTCTCAAAAGAAGACCAGCAGTGGGTCTTCTCAAAAGAAGACCAGCAGTGGGTCTTCTTAAAAGAAGACCAGCAGTGGGTCTTCTCAAAAGAAGACCAGCAGTGGGTCTTTTCAAAAGTAGACCAGCAGTGGGTCTTCTCACAAGGAGACCAGTAGTTGGTCTTCTCATAGAAGACCAGTAGTTGGTCTTCTCATAGAAGACCAGCAGTTGGTCTTCTCATAGAAGACCAGCAGTTGGTCTTCTCATAGAAGACCAGCAGTTGGTCTTCTCATAGAAGACCAGCAGTTGGTCTTCTCATAGAAGACCAGCAGTTGGTCTTCTCATAGAAGACCAGCAGTTGGTCTTCTCATAGAAGACCAGCAGTTGGTCTTCTCATAGAGACCAGCAGTCGGTCTACTCATAGAATACCAGTAGTTAGTTTTGTCACCCACTACCAAGTTTTCCATTAGAATTGCAGTTGTTCTGCTAATAGAATTAAGGTTCGCCACCAAATAAGAAAAAAATGATTCCAATAATTTGTAAATTCTCATTGTGGCAATCTGTTCTCTTTTATCACAAAACATTTTGGTTAGCAGCCTTGCGGTTTTTCTGGTAATAACTGTCATAAAAAAGATGTTGTTGCCATGATGACACTGCTGTTGTGGTTGCAGATTTTCCACCACGCAACATGACTGGTGTCTGCCAGGCTCATTTTATTTAAGAAGAATTGCTGAGGGACTAAAAAAAAACACTTTTGCCATTTGCATAATTTCAAAATGTGTTGTCTAATGGCATGCTTTGGGGCATTCGAATTTTAATGTCAATGTATCTCTCCCCCAACAACAACACACAGTTAATTTTCCCCACAACATAAAAATTGCGGCAGCAAGGACCATTTTATGCCAATTATTTTAGACCATACTCTTGGCCAAGGGTGTTGAGGTAATCCAAAGCAGAGAGAAAAAAGTGGCAAAGTGACCGAATATGTACCAGTATGTTCACGGAGGGGGTGCGAGAAACAAGTGTTGACCACATTTCCTGCTCGGCAATAACATTGAAATGCTTTGCTGTGGTTTGCAGGGCTAATTGTAACATTATGATTATGGTTTTTCAAATGAAAGTGATTTTCTAGAAAGCATGGCAAGCTGCGGGACCCTGTAGATAGCCAACCACGATGAAAGTACCAAGGGGAGTGCAAGATATGATTTTTGTATTATGAAATTACTCTAGTCTCCCTTTTCAGAATATTAAATGCAATTTACAGCATCTTATGGTAATGTTATGAGAAATGGAAATGCATATGTAGTTAGGATTTCATATAATCCAAAAGAGCATTACATTTTTTACAGACCTTACAATAAGCGAATTAGTTTTGACGATGTTACGAAACATCTATGTTTTCATACCATAAGCGCATTACAAATTTGATGTGGCCAAAAAGTTTGTTATTCTTAGAAATATTGGAAACGTCGCATTTATCGACAGATCCTCACGAAATCTGCATGGGGTATAGAATGGACAGAATTAGCTCATATTTTGCATTGCGTAACCTTCTCACCTGTATGAGAAGACTTTTTTAGTCATATTCCTGATCGAAGAAATGTTTCTTAATGAAGGACCTGGAGTTTTCGCATGAGAGACCAGGAGAATTTCTTGAGGAAGACTAAATGGTCTTTATACAAAATATTAAGCTCTCCCATAGAGGACCAGAAGGAGTTCTTAAGAATTTCAAAAGGCCTTTCTTATATGAGAAATTATTGCATTCATAAGAAAGGCCAGTAGAATTTCTCACAAAAAATGTCTGATGTGACATGGCAAACTGTTCTTCAGAAATTCCAGAAATACCAATGAGAAGATCAAATTGTCTTCCATAAGAAGAAACTGTCTTCTTAAATTATAATTCTTCTTTTATATAAGACAATTTTATAGGTTGTATAAGAGTTACTTTTATTTATTATTATGAGATGGCATATGATCTCCAATTATATCCATTTAAGTTTTCTAACGGAAGAATTTACCTTACATACGCACAACTATAAGCTTTTTGTCAATCGCGAAAATATCTTTTGGAGTTCTCGTAGAAGACCAACTGATCCTCTCATAAACACCGATAGAGCCGATGGTCGACTAGTAAGTTTTGTAAAAAAGTACAAATTTAAATCGAAAAATGCTGACTAATCTCTCACGGTACAGAATCAAAAGTAGGAAAATAAAAATACTTTTTTATAAAAAAAGGCGGGGAAGTCATTTAATAAAAGACCACCAGATCAGAAATTCATTTCAAGTAACATCAAAAGGAGGTCTTCATCTATAGGACCAAAAACAATTATCATATGAGTTAAAAAGGTCTTCTCATAGAAGACTAGAGAATTTCTCATGGAAGAACAAAAAGTCTGTTCATGGGATGACTTAAGGTAATATCGTAGCAAAATTCATTCGAAGAACACCTAAGGAAAATTTTATATAAAGGGTGTTTTTTTAAAGCTAGATAGAACTTTAAATTGTAAAAAGTAACACAAAAATTAATTTTGACCGATCAAAATTTGGATATAGCTCCCATATATATCTTCGTTCGATTTGCCTTTTATTGTGCACCAAACGTGTAATATCAGCCCGAATAGTATGGAATTTTGCACATTCAACCAAATTAGGCCTGAAAATAAGTATGCCAAATTTGATCGAAATCGGTTCAGATATATGTTAAAATTTCAATAGGGTTCGTCCTTGTCCAAACAAATGGTTTGGGGAACAAATGCGAACTGTACTTTGTTTACAAAAATACATGGACAGACGGAAGGACGGACATGCATAAATCGACTCAGAATGACTATGCAGATCATCAAAAGGAACTATGGGTCTATCACGTTTCCTTTTGCCTGTTACAAACAAATGCACAAAGACATAATACCCTGACCAACTTGTGGTGTAGGGTATAAAAACTGCAACAAAGTCAAACGCCATAATGTTTGCATTTTTTAATTTTATTGAATGAAAGCAAAAAATGTCGCAAATAGCATCAAATTTTAGAATAAGTTTGGATTTGTTAGAATTGGTCAACTTTGGCACGAATTGTGGCCTTCAAACGACCAATGAAACCGTCACACGCTGCCCGAATGTTACTCTGCGGTATTTTTGCCCATTCCAGGCTAAAGGCCTGCTTTCGAGGTTATAGACACTTTGGTATTTTTTAGTGCCAACATTGCTTTCCAACATACTCCAGACACAATAGTCCAAGGGATTGGTATCCGGAGATTTTGGTGGCCATTGTGCGCTGGAAATGAAGAGAGGAACCTCATTTTGTTATCATTCTTGGGTGGCACCTGCTGAGTGCGATGGTGCTGAGTCCTATTGGAATATCCAAGGTCTGCGCCCAAAATGTTAGCATGCCCAAGGCTTTATAACACCCTCCAGAATATTTTCGCGATAATATTCAGCATTTATTCTGATACCACGGTCGATTAATACGAGCGGACAGCGACCATCGGCTGTTATAGCGGCCCACACCATCACCGTGGCGGCGCTTGAGTTCTGGTGGCCAAACGAAGGTGCAACTTTTCAGCTGACCTCTTTGTCAAGTAAATACTATCATTTTTTTTTTTTTTTTTTTTTTGCTGCTGGACAACGAATGTTTTCTCATCGAAGAAAACCAAATTCGGCAGTTCACCACTTTCGGCCAAGCGAAGAAACTCTTTAGCTCTTTTGAGTCTATTTTCTTTCTGTTGCGGTGTAAGTTCTTACACTTTTCGAATTTCAATAGCTTTACCCCGAGCTCATTTTTCAATATTTGCCGAATGGAATATTGCGATATGTTCAGCTCACGAGGCATTTTTCGGCAACTGCGACGCGGGTTTCGATTAAGTCGCCCCTTTACCTTTCAAACCATTTCTGCTGATGTTGCTGTTGTCTTCCGTCCACTTGCTTGACGTCGGGCTACGCTACCAGCGATGGTACGAGACACAAAAGATTTATTCACATTTTAATGCTGGAGTGTTCTAACGATAGCCACTTGTAGTTTTCCAGCCAAATATAAAGAAATCAGACTATCACGCTTGAATTCCATCCAGAATAAGTTTTTTTCTGGAAAATTCTCAGTAAAGTGCTTTATACGCTTGTAAACAATATAATGAGCTTTCTATGGAAAAATTTTAACTGCTGTTGGACGATCGGCTTATAAATGACAGCAGTGTGAATTTGGTTGGAATTTTTTTTCCATCTCACCCTGTATATGGCTCAGCCGCCATGCCATAATTATTATAACAGATCTCTACCATCTTTATAACGGATCTTGTGTTGATGGAAATATTGAGATG